ACACACACACACACGCACGCACGCACGCACGCACACACGCACGCACGCACACACGCACACGCACACACACACGCCCCCCACACACATATACACATATATATCTGATGAAGTTTTAAATAAAGACTTCACATCTTGCACAATAAAGAGCTGATAATGATTTTGCATATGTGTATATGTGTGTAAAATGTGCATTTTTGGATCTCTTTTTAACCTTTATGCACACAATAATATGATTAATCAAATGATATGAAAGCAGATAAATGTGCATAAATAAGAAAAAGTAGCTTAGCGATACACAATTGCATATATTTTTCTTTCAATAAGTTCAAAAGATTTATTTCATTCTTCATGTAAAAAGGGCAATTTTCAAAAAATTATTATCTTACGCATATACACAAATATAATAACATGTATTCATGCAGCGTCAATTTAATATTTGGCAAAAATCTAAAAGATTTTAGTTTTTCTGTCGTATCTTTTAATTATAGTTGTCTGAATTTAAGATATTATTGATATCTTTGTATCACAATATGCACGTAATGTTGTAATATGACATTATTATATTAAAAAAAATGAAATATTTCTATCTTGTTTTTTCAGAGAGTGTATTATCTGTCCTTGGAATATTACATGGGAAGATCGTTACAAAATACAATGATTAATTTGGGGATACAAGGAGCATGTGATGAAGCTATGTATCAGGTATTTTGTATAATTGGAGGATTTTTAAGTATATGAACGGAAAACATGAACAAACAACAAAATGATAAGTTTCTTTTATTTCGAAGAGCATTGATATTTGAAATAAACAAATGCTTTTTCATCAAATTATTTAAAATTTACATATACTAAAAATTTAGAATATAAAATCAAATTTGTGATTTTGATTATGACATGTCAGGATCATAATGCCAAATAATGATCCAAAGGTTTCAATTGTTTATTGTTTTATATTATTATAAAATTATAAACGATTAAAGTTATACAGATATATATTTTTCACAGGTTATTATAATTATTTGAGTCTTAGAGGCAATAATAATTATTTGAATTCTTATATGTTTTATTATGTTCGTCAAGTTCATGAAACAAATCTATTTTAGAATTTTATCAATTATATTGATCATAAAAATTTAGTGTAATTGACCAAAGTCATGATCAAAAATAACTTTTAAAAAATTTTAGAAATTTCTGGAATGAGACATTATTTTGTATTTGATCATATTTAAATGGAATATTTTTAGACATTTCTATTGTAGGCTCTAAAAAAATTTCCAATTAATCTCCATATGTCATTCATAAAAATTCCATGAAATAGCTATGATTCATCCATAAAATATAAGACATCCACAAAAATATCTAATGAAAGTCTATTATGAAAATAATATGGATCTTCATTAGAGATTTATCGATTTCTATCTTAGAGATACATATTGCCTCTAAAGCATATATCTCCATAGCCATCGTGGAAGGCTGTAGAGATTATATGCATTTGGATAATGAATGTTTTGTTTTATGAATTTATGTTTAAAAAATTTTTAAAATTTTTCAAATTCGAAATTTTTTCACATTAACGAAATTTAATTACATTTTATTACAAGAATATAGTTAGAAGAATATAGTTAGAAACATAAAATTCTTTTTACATGAAATAAACAGAACTATTTTTTTAGATGGGTTTGGACATAGAAGAATTAGAAGAACTCGAAGAAGACGCTGGGCTTGGTAATGGAGGATTAGGTCGCTTAGCTGCTTGTTTTTTGGATAGCATGGCAACATTGGGTTTAGCCGCTTATGGTTATGGTATACGTTATGAGTACGGTATATTTGCACAAAAGATAAAAAATGGTGAGCAAATAGAGGAGCCAGACGATTGGCTCAGATATGGCAATCCCTGGGAGAAAGCTCGACCAGAATTTATGTTGCCTGTGAACTTTTACGGTCACGTAATTGACACTAGTGAGGGCAAAAAATGGGTGAATACACAGGTAAAAGATAATTTTAATGTATTATATTCTTTGTATTATCTAGTTATCCAATTAATACGCACATACATATACACAAACTAACAGTAACTAACATTACATCAATGTTATAATTTCCCACTCACAAGTAAATCTATCTTTCTATTCTATTCGCAAATTTTATTGAAATTCAATGCATTTGTAGAGCAATCAAAAATAATAGACACGTATTTTTTTATATCTGCAATAATGTAGTTTTAAGATTAAAAATTATATAAGAATGAGTAACTAATTCGTTGCATTTAGACTTGGCATGAAGATCTCATAAATTGTCTGAAAAAAAACTCAAAAATAGCTTTAACATCAGTTTAAATGCAATTAATCACTCATTCTTATACATACAAGAGGTAGTTTTTATCCTTAAAACTGCTCTATAAATATGAATATTGAATTTGAATAAAATCAGCGAGTAACAGAAAGGTTTATCAGCAATAAAGGCTTATCAGCAATATAAATGTGACATAACAATAACATTCCAGACGGCACAAAATCTAAAATCAGGACAATGTCTTTAAAATGTCTTTTAAATGTTTTTATATATATTTTTTTTTAATGTTTTTCACAAAGATGTCTTAAGGATGTTTTAAATATATCTTGTGTCTCGATTTTGGATTTTGTGTTGTCTGAGATATATTGTGAGTTAAATTGTTGAGTAGAAAATTATAACATATATTAATATAATGTTATTGTATTACTTTGTATATAGTATATATTATTGTATATATATTGTATATATTATTGTATATAGAATATATTCCATAAAAAAAGTGCTGAATATTATTTTTACTAGTCAATATGAAATCGGCAGTCAATTTGAAATTGGTTTTTTTTTTTCAAAGAAAATGATGAGAAATGATATCTCTAATTTTCAAATAATTAAATGAAAATTTTTTAATTAAATTTTATAAAAGAAAATATACGATAAAATTTGTGTAGTCAATTTGTGTAGTCAAATTGTTCAATTCTTATTTCAATATAATTTTAATCCTATTAATAGCTTATTTATATTGTATATTGTATATAAATATATTATATTGTATATAAATATATAAAATTAGAAAAACATAATGAGCTTTCTCTCATTTTATTTAAGAAAAAGTTATCTTTAAATTATTTTATAAAAAACGATGATTAAAAGGATATTTTATAATTTTGAAAATATATAATTACTAAAACATATAATTACTATGTTCATTATTGTAATAATAATTCTATACTTTATTTAAAATTATAGGTAATTTTTGCCATGCCCTACGATAGTCCAATTCCCGGCTATAAAAATAATGTTGTTAATACATTAAGGCTGTGGTCTGCAAAGTCTCCTGTAGAATTTAATCTAAAGTTCTGTAAGTATCGAAATGATAGATATGCATAATACAACATAATACAATATAAATATGCATAATACAATTTATACTGTTTGGATGTTTCAGAAATAAGTGACTAAATTTTAAGAGCATATTTTATTCTGTAGAAATAAAAAAAAACGTGAACGTTATGAAGGTCAATGCAACAATTATTCATGTATATAAAATGTAATAATGTTTATAATTTAGTATTGAATATTCAGTGTGATTAGTCACTTGAATTTTAAGGCCGTATTAAGGGAAAGTTATGACCATTTATATTTATATTAATTATAATTTTGTTTATTAAATTAGAAAGAATGCAGAATATTTACAAAGAATATTTATTTAGACGCGAGAGACTAATACCGCGCAGGCTAATCATCTTTACGCGACGTCAGCGATGTGTGCCATTAAGTGCTTGCCTAGATACGAATGGCGCCATTGAAAAGAAAGCGTTTCCGGATTCCGTTTATATTACTTTTCTTTATCTTTACAGTGAATAGAATATGCTTTTAAAGTTCGACCAACCTATTTTTAAAACACATATTGTTGATTCGCATTTTTTCAGTTAACGATGGTGACTATATACAGGCTGTGATTGATCGTAATCTGGCGGAAAATATATCTAGAGTTCTTTATCCTAACGACAACTTTTTCGAAGGCAAAGAACTTAGATTGAAACAAGAATATTTTATGGTAGCTGCTACTTTGCAAGATATCATCCGAAGGTACAAGTCTAGCAAATTTGGCTCAAGGGAGCATCATAGAACTGATTTCGATGCCTTTCCTGATAAAGTAGCAATTCAACTCAATGATACGCATCCCTCACTAGCTATTCCTGAGTTGATGAGAATTCTTATTGATGTTGAAAAACTTTCTTGGGATAAGGTATGTTCGTTATAGGCCATATAACATGTATACATAAGTCATAAGTATATAAGTCATATGTACATTTAAGAAAAAAATTATTAAAAAGTTTTCTAAATTAACGAAAACTGTGTAACTTTATGTGCAATTATATGTATTTTTTATGTAATTATGTAATCTTTTTTATATTTTAGAAATTCAAAATGAATTATTTTTGGATTCTCTGCTATTTGGAATCTTACATACTACAATTT